CCCCCCCGCGCCACGAAATCTGCACTTCCTCTCCAAAACCCGCGCCTGCCACGAAATCAACATTTTAGTGTGAACTCCCTGCCGCAAAAAAACCCTGCTAACCAACCAACCAACAGCCACCTGCCAGCGGCGCCAGCAGCAACCAACCATCTGACCACAACGTAGCATCCCTTTTGTGGGCCATCCGAGGTTAAAATTTAGAATAGGAAGAAGCCTATTGCAACGTGGCATGCCTTTTGTGGGCCACAGATACAGTTTAGAGTAGGAAAAAGCCATTGCAACGTAGCATGCCTTTTGTGGGTAAAATTTAGAAAAGGAAGAAGCCATTGCAACGTAGCGTGCCTTTTGTGGGCCACCCGAGGGTAAAATTTAGAGCAGGAAGGAGCCATTACAACGAAGCATTTCTTTTTGTGAGCCACCCGATGGTACATTTTAGAGTAGGAAGGAGCCATTACAACGATTTACAACGTAGCATTCCTTTGATGGGCCATTCGAAAGTAAAATTTAGAAAAGGAAGAAGCCATTGCAACGTAGCATGCCTTTTGTGGGCCACCCGAGGGTAAAATTTACAGCCGGAAGGAGCCATTATATTACACTGTAGCATTCCTGTTATGGGCCATTTGAAGGTGAAATTTAGAATAGGAAGGAGCCATTACAACGCAGCATTAGTTCGAATTCGACTTCGAATCGACGATAATTTTTTCACTCCGGGGGGGGAACTAGTTCGAGTTTGAGTTCGAATTCCAATCGACGACAATTTTGACGCCCGGAGGGGGGGAAACGCAGTTCGAGTTCGAGATCAAATTTCGAATCGACGACAATTTTGACACCGGGGGGGGGACCAGTTCGAGTTCGAGTTCGAATTCGAATTCGAATCGACGACAGCGATTTTGGAGTTCGACTCTTTCTATTCGTCCACTGGGTTGACTTCTAACAGTTCCAGTTCGAGTTCGAGATCGAGTTCGAGATCGAGTTCGAGTTCGAGTTCGGTTCCTTCCATATATATCCTTTCAAGGTTAAGTTCATCAATACTGTATAACTGTTTCAGTTCGAGTTCGAGTTCGAGTTCGAGTTCGAGTTCGAGCGGGGCACACTATGATCAAGAGTCTACATCGCATTATATACATTGAGCTGCGATGAATTGGTCAGGAAAGATGTGGCCTTTGAGGGATGTGGCCAACTTTTTTGGTGATGCGTTCGATCGTTGTTCATCACCAGAAAACCGTTTTTGGCTTCCTTTGGATGTCAGGCGCGAGAATGCGTTCTCACAAGTAGGTGGGAGAATGACGACTTTCAGGGACACTGAGAGTCAGTGGACCGACGAAGCGGGGCTAATAGGGACTGGGTCAATCCCTTCAACAAGCGTGGTTCCACACCAAAGTGAAAACTCCCAAGAGCCCACCACATCCCCGTTTTCCTCGTGAGGTTGCAGCAAAATGACCTGCCTTCCCAGCAGTGGTCGAGGTTTGATGTCGAGGCAGGTGAGCACTTGCTCGTACCTCGCAACATCAGCCGAAGCCTCTCGGTCTTGGGGTGTGGAGTACTGAACTCCCCTCACCCCCCCTTACAACCCCAAACGAGCGCTGGCTTTTCCTCTCTGCCAGATCAGAGCGTCTTCGCTACCGTCTCAAAAAGCTTCACGCAACCTGCCTTCTCGCACATGCGGTAGCTGACGGTGTCAGGATTTGGTGGTTCATGGGTAAATTTAAATTCCTTGGAGTTCCTATACTCAAATCCACAGCCGGTGGAGAAAGCGTCCTTCACTGCATGAAAGACAGTGCTGCCAGTGTTCATCACAAACTTCGGCAGGAACTTCCGGGACAGCTCTTCTGTCCATTTCTCGTGCATCAACACCGACTTGGTCCGGAGTTCACTCAGGATCTCTTCGATCTCCGATTGTGACTGCTTGGCGTTCTGCAGAATCTGAGTGCTCTGCGTTTCCAAGGCATTCTCAATGGCTCGCACCATCTTCCTCGACTTCGGGTGGTCTAGGGCCTTGGCTGAGTGAGTCATGACCTCTCCCACGGACATCGTGGTGGCCAGCCACTTCTCAGCGTTCTCCAATGGGACCTCCCTTAGGTACCTGAGGATTGCATCACTGCCCCAACGACAGAACAGCTGGATCTTGTAGAACTCAATGCCTTTTCTTGCCATGAACTGGGCACCCATAGGCCGCAGCATGTGGCCCGTGATGTTCTGAGCTTCCTCCTCAGAGAGCCCTATTGCAATCGCCACTCGGCGGAAAGCCTTGACCATGCCCTGCTTGGTCGGTGGCGTCTTGGGCTTGTCAGTGACGAGAAAGGGGTCTTCATCTTGGTGACCGTTCTCAAGGGCGGCCTGCTGCAGCCTCCTCGCTGCCGCCACCGGGCACAAACTCGGTAGGGTCTCACACAAACAACCCTGCCTCCGAAGCGCGCCCTCGCCCTTGGAGTCCGTCTTGGAAGCCGGCAAGTAGAGGGACACCACCCCACACCCGGAGCCTCCTGACTCTATCTGAACACGCTTCACCTTCCTCAGGGCCGCCTCCATCTCCCTGCAGGCGAAGAGCGAGAACAGGATCACAGTGTCAATCGTCTTCCTTGGGCCTCCATCGACCGGTTCCACCTCTTTCAGCCCTTCCAACTGCCTCAGATCCAGGGCTGGACACTGTTTGTCTGCGCCTATGCCCCGACACAGGACCTGATCGCATCTTTGATGGCCAGCGTCAGATCATCAGTCCAAGGGTGGCTCAAGAGCACGTGCTCCCTCTTGAAGGCGGCGAAGTACATGGCTGAGGATCCATATTGGCCCACCTTCAACAAGGCACCTGCCATATCAATCGTCTGCACCGTCAAAGGGAAGGGGTCCACGTCCAAGCTCTTTGCACGATGTAGCCACCACTGAACCCTAGCCTTGTGTGTCGCTTGGTTCGAGGCTGCAAACTTGTCATTCTGGAAGTCCTCCATGGCCTTCTTGAACTCCTCTGGGTCTTCAGCCACCTCTTGGGCTTTCGCCGAGTGATGCCCATCTCGGCATTGAAGCTGCCTTGCACGCGGGCGGCCGACACTCACGCTGATCGCATGATACGAGCGACGTGTCTCGGCGGTTTCAACCCTTCTCCCCGGTCTCCCCTGCTCGGTTGGCCACTCCCCCCTCTTCGGGATGCCCACTCAGTGCGGGAACATGCGCTCCCCCTCACTGTTTCTCACTTTTCGTGCCAAAGCTCAGGCGCATGCTCCACCTTCGGCAGGTGAGAAAGCTCTCCGGGCATCTGGCCCCGGGATAGGGCGTCTGCCCACACGTTCTGCTCGCTCCACAAATGCAACGCTTCTAGTGAAGCGAAGTGGACAGCGAGGTGCAGCGCCGCTTCTTTTGTGACTTCATTCAGCAAAGGCGCCTTCGCTGCTCTCCTCACTAGGGCAAACAGAACTCCTTGTGCATCTCCACGGATTCTGATGTAGCCTTGGTCCCCTGTCTTCACCCAGGCCCACAAACATCGCAGCATCATATATGCTTCCCACAACGCTTGCGAACCAGCTTCACCTATCACAGCACCCGTCTTTGCCTCATCTGCTGACGTCCAGGTGAGGGAGAAGACTTCTGTTGGCTGTCCTGCACACAGCCACCCCACGGTGAGGCGTCCACCAGAAAATCTAGCCAGCACCGATGTCTAGTGTGTGCATACACTGTTCTTTCTAGACCTTCAGGTCCCCAACTCCATAGGAACCGCCTGATCCAGCGCAGCGCCGGCTCCGGTGATAGACCTGTCCTTGGCCCTGTAGTTTGCTTGGATTGGATGTCAAGGCTGCATACAACATCCGGACAAACGGCTTGAGCTGCGGGATGAAGCCAGCTGCCCAGGACATCTTGCCCGTAAACTGTTGCACCAACTTCCTTCTCACCAATGGCTTGGTGTCCAACTTCTCTAGGAGCATTCTCCACTCTTCCAGCTTGCTAGCCGTCACCATCACCTTGACATATTCCTCCTGGTCATTCACGACTACACTGATCCTTTCGACCAGGCCACTTTCAAGCCCAATGTCAACCACCACAACAACACAATGTTGTAAATGCTGCTGAGCTGAGCCTCTGTACCACGGGCCACAATCAAGGGATCGTCAACAAAGATTTGTAACCTGCACCTACTTGCATTGAACAATGCTTGTGTCGACCTTGCTATCAACGCGGCAACTCTTCCCCAGACTAGAGGTCCTGTCTTGACCCCGAACAATATACTGTTCTGTAAACAAAATGTCCCCCCAGCGCCCTGCCCGACAAGTATCTGTACTCGTTCTGTCTCACTTGTAGATGTTTGAAGGCGTCTCAGAAGTCCAGGCTCATGAATCTGACTTTCTCGTCAGGTGTCCGCGTCTCAAGCAAGTGGAGAGCATCCTCCATTGCATCCCTCAGCCTAGGCAACACTAGCCGCTCCTTGAGGTCGATGTGGCTGTTGACCTGACTCCTCCTCAGGTCGTGCACCAGCCGTCCTTTCACTGTTCCGTCCAACTTGATCTTGGAAATGTAGCCGATAGCCGATGGCACCAACGTCCCATACAGGTCTTCTAGTTCTTTCAGGTCCCTGGTCCAGTGCACGAACCCTTTGTCCACCTCCTTCTGGAAGAGGGCGTCTGCTGCCGCCTTCTCCTCTTCGTAAGACTTGTAGTTGTTCAATGCACCCTCCAACTCGGCCAAAGACTCAAATTTGTCTTCTTCCTGCCAAGGGTCTTCCTCCTCCACCTTCGGGAACACTCCTCCCACAGGTATGTCATTGATAATGCCCAAAGGTGTTCCTCTTCTTGGCCAGCTTGCTGCTTCTATGTCTGGGTCGTCGCTCAGGTATACCAGCCGCTCAAGTAACGCTCCCCAGAGCCCACGCTCATGGGGTGCACACCCAAAGACCTGGGCTACCCTTGCGTTCTTTGCCTACCTGAGCTTGTCCAACTGTCCCAAACACGACTGTAACACGCGCCAGCCAATGTTCCCTACCTGCAACCACTTGGGCACCATCTGAACTGCATGCCAAGGATTCCTGAGACCCCCAATGCATCGTTCATTCTCCTGCTCAACCACCGCCTTCTTCGAGAAGAGGTCTTTGACCTTGGCATCTTCTTTCATCACTAGCTTCCAACTATCTGGCCTGTTCCCGACCGCCTCCAGCTCCTTGGCATATGCTTTTGCCAGTTCAATGCACAGGCCTTGTGGATATTCTGCTGCAAGTGACGTCTTGAACACCTTGTTGCCATGGAAGTCCAAGGTGAATCCCATTAACGGTTCATGCCGGTGTTCTGGCCTCCCTGGACAACGTTTCTCCATGACCTCCATGAATCTTGCGTTGCTCAACCAACCTGTGGGCTTGACGTACTCACCCATGAAGGCACACTGGTCACCTCGGTAAAGCTTCACACCTTCGAGTTGCAGCAGCAGCTTCACAGGTGTGTAAAGCCATATGTAAAAGGTTTTCCAACGAGAACCATCCGCCAGCCTTCCACTGTAAAAGTGACAGTTGAGCTGCTCTCGAAGCCAACACGTTAGCCTCCTTCACTCTCCACGACTTTGGCTCCAATCCAGCAGGTTGTTGAGCTGATCGGAGTTGACGGGCTTTTGCAAACTTGTCCCTCCTCCGGGCCCTTGAGAAAGTCTTGCAGGGTGGAGCTGTGTGTAACCATCTCACCTTCCTTGACTTAATTTCGCTCTTGAGCTTCTTGAACGTTTCCTTGCATAAAAGGTCTGTACCCACTGCAATGCGGCCTCCTGTTCTGATCTCTCCAGGCTCGAACACTGGAATACCCAATCTGCTAACAGCTTGAGTGAGTCCAGCCTCACCCGCAAAGAGCTCCATAAAGCAGTGGTCTTGTGAAACCATGCTATCACCCACCTCCTTAGGAGGTAATGTCCTTGCACGCTTGCCTGCATCAAATTCAATGTCAACTGCCCTTCTCTTCAGCCGCTCCCGCAGTAGTGTCAACTTCTTCTCGACGTCGACTTCTGCTGCCTGAGGAGCCACCGACGGGCACTGTAGTCACATATGCTTCTGCCGCTTGTGGGGGGGTCCTCCCCCCTTGCTCTTGCCTTTGCCTTTCGGCTTCTCTTTCTTGTCCGGAGTCCATCCCGGGCTGTGAGGGCAGTCAATGGTTTTGTGTGGTGCCCTGCACCATTCGCAGATGTGTGCAAACCCCTTGTCACAACGATCGTTCGAACACCCATCTGCTGCCCTCGACCAAGCATAACAAATGTTGATGCCTGCTTTGCTCCGGAAATACCTGCCATCCTTCCTCTGGGGGTCGAAACCTGAGGAACTGTTCGTCTTCTTCTTGGGTTGTGGCTTCGTCCAGCTCTGATCATCTGTCGTGCTTGGTCCAGCTGGCCTCGCCGGAACTGCCTTGGCTGAGTTCATCACATACAGCAAAGCCGGCTTCTCAAACTCCCTGGACCAAAACTCTGAATGCGATGCACTGGCCCGAATGACTGAGTTCCACGGCTGATCTGGCACGAAAGCTGACAAAGCTGCATGGGTGGCATGGAATGCCTCCTGCTTGCGCTTCTCTTGAGACCAGAATTCTGTCCGGCATCGGATAGCCAAGTGCCACACATCAGGGTGTTGCAGAACCCTCGTCCTGAACTCTGAGGCGTAGCGATCGAGGGAGGCTGCTGTGGCCATCTGTAACATGAGGGCTGCTGTCCGGAAGATTCGCCATGACTCCTCCCAGGAATCTAGACTCGATGCGCCGGGTAGTTCAACAGCCTTCCATTGCCCATCACGCCACTGTTGTGACACGAACCTCATAGCCCTTGCAATCCTGTCACCATGTGGCCCCCATACACCCATGTCGACGAATGGAGGCTGCCCTGATTGAAGCTTGTGAAACAAACAACTCAACTGGGCCGTCACTTCCTCTTTCTCGAGGGGGTTGTCACCTTCTGAAATCACATATTGTGACCTCATCTTCTGTAAGGTGGTGTTGGGCAACATCTCAACCTCGAAGTCAACTCCTTGGTCAATGATTTGATTCATCTTCAACTTCAACTTGGTCCCACTTGGACCTGCCGCAGAACCCTTGCTGGCAGGTGTCTCCGGTGTGTGGGTTGCTGGCGATGCGAACAAGGAGGGAGCTCCGTATTTGACCGTGATTGCACTGAGCACCAGCCTCCATTGGGCCTTCTCGGTTTCGTGCAACGACCTGTCACCTCGGGTGGCCCCACCCAGGGCTGCTTCGAAGACCTCGATCGGGATCACGGCCAACACTGGCAGCGCATTCAGTTCAGGGTCACCCAACTGGCGAGTCACCGCCCTCACCAAGCCTGCTTCCAGACCCCCCACGTGGCCGCCTCTCTCAGCGTGGACCACGACGCGAGGGTTGCTCGGTCTGGAAGCAGGCCGTCCATGGCGCCTCACCCCCCCACTTATCTTCAATGGGGGTGGTCTGGTACCAAGAGGCCTTGAGCCAAAATGGTACCAGACCAAAACTGAACCCACCCAGCCACCCTGAGGTTTACCACCACTTATTGTTACTTCGGCCATACTGGCCTACCCAACAACATCAAGGTGGATCTGGTTCATGGGTGAAAAACAATCATCACAAGTACTTGCGATGCCAAGAACAAAAAAGACATCGCTGACAAGGAAGAAGAAGAGTAAGAATCTCATGAACTCCACAGTTTTTTGACGCAAGCTCTCTTAGAGGTTTCTGGCCACTGAGGTTGGTCATGAACCTGAACCTCATGGCCATCCAAGGACCCCAGAAACCTGTCTTCCTGATCTGTTGTGTCAGGTCCCTGATCTGTTTGTTAAGTCTTGATGCTTGGCTTCCGGGTTCTCCCTTCCGGCCCGACGTGCCGATCCTTCGGTGGCCTTCTGAGACCCGCTGCCGCCCCCAAAACCGTCCAAACACCCCTCGTCCAAGGGGCAAGGCGGCGTCCGGGGACTCGTGGACCTGCAGGACTCGTTGAAGACCAAGAGACTCTTCAGTTGAATGGAATTCATCCGAGTGGGGGAAATGGCACCTACAGTCACCGGTCATGCGGGGACTGGTCATTGGCACCCGGACCAGCAGACCGGAGCGTAGGTCATGCGAGCCAGCGGCCGAGATCTCTTTGAGCTGGTGATTGTTCTAGACAAAAAGGAAAAAAGAGCAGCAAAGAGAAACAAACAAATATATAACAAAAAAAACTGATGTTTAAAAATATGTGTTAGAAGAATGTGAGTTGTTTCTTGGCTTTTCTCCCTCTAAGGAACACCTTGGCTTCTGGTGAAACACACCAATCCACACACCAGGTCCTCCCATCACTCTCAACCAACACAACTCACCTGAGAAGTTCATTCACTCGCTCTCCGGATGTCGCAGACGGCCTCAAAACATGGGATGGAATCGGAGGAATCAGTCACTAAACCACCCGGAAAGTGTGGAAAACTCTGGAATATCTATGGAAAACGATCCCCTAGAAATCCAAGTACCTTCTCAGAAGGTACTTGGACCCTCCAAACCCACATAAGAGTGTCTCCAATCACCTTCTGAGAAGGTACTTGGATCCCTAGGGGATATTGATTGACAGACTACTCTGAGGGAGTTCGCGGCAAGAGGTTGAGTACGACGCGCTTGGTGGCGCACCTGCGCTTGGCGCGCACGCTTCTCGGCTTCCAGAAGCTTGGCCTGGCACCAATGGAACTGGACATGCCACCGGGTACGACTGGGTGTGACCCTTGGGGATGTCCCAGACACCTGTCTGCTGGCCATGGACATGCCACCGGTGCGGATGACAGGATCAAATGCTGGACTGTTTGAAGTGAAGATCCGAGACAAGGGTAGAGAGAGAGAAAGAGAGACCGCGTAGTGTCAGCGAACCTAGTTCAAACAGTCTCTTGATATCTCTTGATCCATCAAAGGTATGTAAGTTCTGTACAGGCTGGTTGTGTTGATTGAAGGAAACTTGATGTAAACTGAGAGAGGTTGGTTTTGTTGGTTGGTGTAAAGCCCAACATCCCCGAACCGTGGCTGTGCTTAGCTGCTAGCTGCTGGCTTTGACGGAGACAGTGGAGGTATGCTACTAAGGTGCCATTCCAGTGATGCCCGATCCAGACTCTTCAATGATCTTCAATGAAGACATTTCTTAAACCCCAGTAGATGGAGCAGGCCGCCAATATTGACAGATCTAGGCTCTGCTGGATGCCGGCCCCTAAGCAAAGATCTTGGATTGTATCCAAGACCCTCCAAAACTACATCAACATAATGAACCTGAACCATCCAACCAAGGTCAATCGTGGTCGATGCCCGATCACCCCCCCCCGGAAACCACCTGGTCCGGGCCCCCCTGAACCCCAGCACACCGGTGGGTTTCGTTCGACTCAGGCGTCCACCCCAACCGCACTCCACCGCCTCCAGTTCAGTGACCTTGGCCGCCATCAGCTGCGCCGCCGAGTGGCCCAGCTCACCATTCTCCGCCTGGGCGGAGTAAGAAGCGCCGCCACGGCCAGCCCGCGGAGCGCGAGGAAACCGACTCGGCCTTGGAATGCCATTGGAACAAAAAAGGTGCTTTTCACGAGGTGGAACCAGGAAGAGTTTTTTGGGAGGAAAACAACAAGCTGTCGCCAGAGTGAAAGGACATGTTGACATACCATGTTGACATGCAAAACGGTCACAGGAACAGCTGGACCATCTACGCTCCGCCGTCAAAGAGTCACCATTTACGGCGCCCTTGCTCTTGTCGTATGGGGGTGGGTTCATGGTGGGTTCATGGGGTCGATTCCAGGCAGCGAAACCATTCATAGTGCCAGGAGTGTTGAGATGCCTGCAGTTTCTTCATGGCACAGATGACAAAGGGATAAGACTGGGCTAGGTTGCTCAATCAGTGCAACTTGTTGTCAAGTAAGCTTCACGAGATGTGGATTTGACTACAACCGCACCCCCCAAGGTCCAGGCAGGCCACGCGTTCTTTTCGCACGAGTTGGCAAGCTCGAAATAAATCTCATGGTGCCAACGGCTTCCAGAAATGAGGTATAGGTCTCAAACTGTACAGCATCCTTACACTTTTCCAGCATCACGAGTTTCTCCCCAAAAAGACCACTTGTTCGGGGTCTTCTTGCAACGAACGAGTGGTTCACTTTCCGCGGACTGAGCCATACCCCATCCACTGGACCATCAGCATCGACCTGAGACGAGCCCAAACCGCCGAAACCGGTCGAGTGTCGGCGGTCGGGTGGACCAACGAGCTCCAGTGACGCACTCGGAGAGTTGGAGGCAGTTTCGGCCGAAGAGTCTTCCCAAGAGGCTGTATTCTTGAGAAAAATTGGTTTCATGGGCGTCGCCAACATCTACGAGGGGGCAATACATGTGCAGGTGCGCCGGAGTGGGATCCTCTGAGTCTAAAGAAGCAGAGGCTGCGCCAGGTTTCGGCTGTTCGTTTCAGCTGCGCCACGTGGTGGTTAACCCACCAACATTATCTTTGCTTCTCGTTGGGCTTAGCTACAGTGTGAAAACCTGACCAAACATCCTCGCAAAAACATGTTTTTATGGGTTTTTGCATTTAAATAAAGAAGAAAAAACTATTGGCCACCTCCAGACTCACTGGACAGAATCCCATCTTCGAGGTGTTTAGCGGCTTAGCCTCCATCCAACAAACATCGAAGTGGAGCAGCATGCCTCTTTGGAAGACTGTTTTCCTCTACGAACAGGCTGCATTCCACTTCCATGATTGTTTCAGCGAGGGTAGCCTTTCCTGAAAACCTATGCCAAGCAGCCCAAAGAAGCCTGGTCCCAGCTCTGCGTCGGAAGCTCATCTGGGTGGACTGGCAGCGAGGTGGACTCCACCGGTGGCGGTTGGCGTAGCAAGTCAATGGATTGTGAATCAACAGAACAAAATAAACGTCTGATGATGGCCACCTCTCACTTAAAACAACAAAGAAAACGCTTCTAAAGGACGAGAGATGTGCCTATTATATAGGTTGAAGCAACCACTACAGTACTTCTCCGGAAACCACGATTCCAGGCACAGGTCGCACAGGTGGGGGGTCGTGCGCCACCCGGAAGACGGCCATGTCGGGCCATGTCGGGCCTGTCCAGCGCTTGGTTTCTTCCCAGGCATCGAAGGCCACTTCCAAGCGAGTTCCTTCGAAGGCTGTGCCGTGGAGTTGAACAGTCGTTGGACAAAAAAGCTGGTGCGCGAACCCGAGCGCGCGAACCCGCTGAAATGCTTCATCGAAGAGTGGTTCCATGGTGCTTTGGAAAAGCCGAGCAGTACGTACTTGCATCCAAAAAAAACAAAAAAACACCGGTGGCCCCATGCACTACCATACACCTCTCCTTTTCAAAACGGCCCCAGTGGCGGCCGATCTACCTCTCCGGCCGCGCCCGAACCACGGACCTGGCCACAGGGTGGCGAGCTGAAAGAAGACCGCAGTGCAGCTGATGCACGGATGGGCGCTGATGTACCTGCGCTGATGGCGCTGTCTGAACCGGTTCCGTTCGGCGGTCCCGGAGCGGGAGACCGGGTCGGAGCCGGAGAACGGTCCCGGAGAACGGAGGGGGACCGGGTGACGTGACAAGAAAATGCAGGGTTAACCCCCACTCCAGCAAGAAGATGCCAGGATATGCCAGGATTCATGGAACTCTATGCTGAAGCCAAGTGTAAGAAGTGCCATATGCTGAAATGGTGTTGAGGGATTCTATTTGGGGCCCACTGCCAGCACAAAGGCTTGAAAAGGCACTGTCCCATCAAGCCCCAACGGTTGGGTATCAAGGCACAAACGAGAAGCCACAATGTCATGCCTGATAGAAACCAGTTCCCTCCCACCTATATAATTACATCAAATACCCCCTCTCATTCACCTGCTCACCTGCTCCGTGGATGAAACGACCTATATGACCTACCTCCGCCTACACCGGCGAGACGGGACGACGTTGCGGAGATGCGGGGAGACGCGGAGGGCACAGGTGAATGGTGCCCAAAGGCTTCGCCCCTGGCCGAGTCGCTGCCACCGATCGGGCGTGACTTTGGGGCGTGCCACCGGTGGTCGGACCGATTGGGTGCGAAATGAGCCGGTGGGAGTTGATGCAAGTTGGTTAGATTGGGATGTCAACATGTGGTCTTGCTTTTGGGGTGACTAGTAGTGTTGACCCACACCCGACAAGACCAGCAATTTGCTGGCAGAAACTGCCTGCGTACTGCATACTGGTGAAGCCTTTGCCTACGTACCGCTATCCTTGGAGCTTTACCCATCGAGTCGCCAGAGGTATCCGGACTCTCCGGTGTCCCGGAATGGGCCGTCGCCCGTTCGCCTGGAGGGATGTCCTCAACCAAGGAGAGCAAGGCCTAGCCAAGGCGGTAGGTGGGTTGGCAGGTGGATGGGTTGGTGGTCTTGCTAGTGCTGACTTGGTTGGTTCAGAGACACCCTTGAGACAGTATTTCAGACTCAGGACGCCAAGCAAAACCATTTACGTGGAAGCAGCATGTTCCTCAGACATCAATGGCATTAATGTGGAGCTTGAGATGCTTTGGAGCTTCTCTCAGCATTTCAAGACAGCATCTTCCGGGTCTTCTACTTATATTGCTCTTAGAAGTGATCTTCGTTGGATGCCAAAACTGAAGCCAGTGGATCCAGGCAAACCACTAGTTCAATCTAGTTCATATAGGTATAACCAGTAGTTCCAGTTCGACTTAGACCGTAAACCAAACGGAACGGGCCCCTGGTTCCGTTCTAGCTCTTCATGGCTGGGATCCACCGGGTAGGTTTCCCTCCTCTCCGCACGGACTCCGTCCTCTCCAAAATCACTTCGACCCCGCGAGGATTCGACCGCGTCCGACCCCTCCATAGGTTCGGGTCCTCTTTCGCCCCTTTGCTCTCACCTCCCATCTCGCGCCTGCCGCTCCGCGTGCTGGGAGCGGTCATGCTCCGCCAGCACCGAGATCAGGGAGACCTCGGTCTCCAAGTCGCTCCTGGCGACGGTTTCCACCGGGTCCAGACCGTGGAGGAATGGAAGGAGCGGGATGCCACCGAATGCCCCCCGTTGCGAGAAGGTGCGAGAAGGTGCAAATGTATTCATTTAATGAATGTCTCGATTTTTTTAGGTTGCGAATGGAGTGTACCGAGATTTATGTGAGGAAATCCTTGTCCTGGTGTTTGATGGCCTTTTTACAGAAAATGTGTCTGAAAATGGAAGATTTAACACTGCTGGCTGCAAAGGTTTTAGTTGGACTCTTCCACCAGGCCAAGCTTTATCAGAGAAGCCCAAGCTTCGTTCGGTGTCAGTTTCGGGTGGACATGATTTGGTTGAAAAAGTGCTTCGGTTTTGTTGGCCCCGAAATCGCATCGCGGACGCCCTGATATTGAACACCAATTCGTGGGCTGCGAGCCAATCTAGCTCAATTGAAGAAGCAGAATTGAACATAAAGGAAGAATCAAATGACGTTGCTTTTTATACTATATTAGTTATACAATTATTATAATGTTTAGAATTGTTTAGAGCTCAAGAGAAAAGGGATCAAAAAAGAAACGGTTGGGTCTTTCACCAACTCTCAAACTGCACCGAAAAGCGTGGGAGTTGTCGGACCTTTTATTCAAGGCCAACGACCAGGTCGTCACGTCGAGACCACATCGAAGGAGCCAAGTGTACAGAACAAGAGTGAAACCCCCAAGATGCATCCCATGAGATCCCCACGTCAAGTTAGCCCCCAAGTTAGCCCAAAATAGCTCACGTCACAGGGCGGCCCCACACGGAGTTCACGTCCCCGGCGACATACCGAAGCAGGGGATCCTGTGGCCTACGAGGCGGCCACGAACGGAAGAAGCATCCAGGCTGCTGGCCACCTGAGATGCTGTGCCGATCGCTCTGAGCTCTGCGCTCTGATGAGGGATTGGCAGGAGACGACCAGGAGACTCGCTTCCGAAACGGAAAAATCCCTTGGTTTGGTTCGGAAGATCCGAATAAGAAAGCTCCTGGTCGATGTTCGGTGTTTTTGTGTTCAACATCTTGACGCTGGGTGTCATTAACCCTTGTGATCCTTGATAGGGAACGCCAGGGTCGCCGGGTCCAACACAAGGTGTACAAATTCACCATGTGGTTCATCTGATTTCAACGGGCGGATCTGGTTTGGAACAAGTGGATCTTCCAGGACCGTTCCGTGGTTCCGTGGTTCGTCCTACTTAGTAGGCACAAAAGGTAGGTGGTTGGTGAGCAGTAGTGGGCACCTCTAGTGCTCCCCTATCCTCCAAGTGCAGCCGGTCACTCCCGTCCACTTCAAGGAGTTAGACCAAGTTGCAAAGGCCGAGATGGACTTGGCCTCGAGGTCGCCGTGCGACCGAAGACCTCCAGCTGGGCGTGCTGGGTGAAAACGGTCACCGAGGTCGTGGTCTCTTCAGTCAAAAGGCTTTACACTTATCTAGAATCTATGATATTATAGACTCATATAGACTCTATACCAGGACCATCCAAGGGGTGTCTATTTA